CTTCCAAACGGTCCTCTTGACGGGTCCTGTGCAGCTGTGTTTTATGTTTCCATATGGCCTTGCCAGAGCTCCCCCCCTTAAGCAGACCTGGCTTCCACAATTAGTACGGACTCACAACAAGTTAGTTATGGAATACATTAAGTCCTAAAGGCCTCATGGGGCTATTTACACCTCTTTGGACTATTTCCAGGATCCCAGATTATACTGTAAGTGTAAATTAAGGAAGTCTCACGATCCAATGCCTCTGACTGGAACATGCAACATTACCATATCTTCTGCTCCATTTTCCAGTGCTTTTCTTGGCCTCATTTTAACGATTTTATACCACCCTGAAAGGTAAACTCTGTAATCTTAAAATCATGCTTTAGAAAGTCTTTCTTTCTTTTCCCTTCTTGAATGTGCCTGATTCTATTTCTCATGCACAAAAATTGAAGACTGATCAATTTTTTCCTTTGGCATTGAAGTCTTTCAGGAATTTATTTGCATTCACCTGGCCAAGTTATAAATACCATCCAACACCTATATCACGCCATTTCTTTACTTAAAATAATAAATTGGTTTCACTTAATAAAATACAAAACCAGATGAAGTCAGTCTGTGTACCCAACGGTTGGGAACATACATTTAGCAGCTGGTGAGGGAAAAAAAGTTCACTCCCTTAGCCCATGCACAAGATCAGTTATAGATCACATATTTTAGAAAACCTGAAACATAATGTAAATGGTTCTTATTTTTTAAGCATGGCTTCCATTGTGTACCCAAAGAATTGGGGTTGATATTCTTTGTCGCTTTCTCTGTTCTCAGTCCCTGTGAGGACTTTTTCTTTGGGACCTCTCCTCATCTTCGCAGGGTCATGTTTCTTAGCCATGTTTCTCATGGATACTGGTGCCTAACAACACTCAGGTCCTTAATAAACACTTGTTGAATGAGTTTTGGAACCTGAACAAGGTAGACTATGATATCTGGAGAAATAATGCAAGTCCAAGAATCAGAAATTAATTAGCTGAACAAGGTTTGATAATGATGATGGCAATTATAGTTGGCTTTTGATGACTACTTTATATGTGCGCAGCACTGCACTTAAAGCTTTAAGAACATCTAATTTTACGTTAATTGAATTATCACAATGACAGGCATCATTACCCCTATTTTACAGATGAATAAACTGAGGTGCTGCGAAGTAAAGTAGTATGTCCACAGTCACAGAGCTATAAGTATATATTTTACTGGGATTAATATACAAGTCTGTTCAATGCCAAACTTCATGCCTTTTTTTACCCCTTCCCATCTGGTCCTCCATTTTATCATCTAGTAAATGTGGAATATTTAATAGTCATTAAGATAACCAGTTTTAAGATGTTTCAGATATAAGGTGACACACATCTCGGGAAAAGTTAGAATATAATTAGTTTTGCTTAATGATTAAAGTCCTGTAAGAGACCAAGAAGTGGCTCTCCAAAGCTGAAAACTTAGGAACCTTGGAAGGAAAGAGGAAGGAGATTTTTGGGCAGGTTGAGCCTTTGTAGGGTTTTTGAGATCCATCTAAAGCTAAAGTTAGCCCTGTCTTTTTACACTGGTTAACATTTACTGATAATTTACTATGTTCCAGATACTGTGCCAAAAATTTATATGTATTATTTCACAGAAATCTCAGCCAACCCTATAAGATAGTACTATTGTTATTCCCAAAACAGATGAGGAAACCAAGCTTAACTTGCCCAAAGTCACCTGCTAGCATGGTGGAGCTTGGACTCAAAGCCAGATATGTTTAACTCGGAAGCCCATAATTTTAACTGCTTCTGAATGCTATTTTTAGCTTATTTATCCATGTACATTTAAGGTAATTTATATGTGTCATTTATTTCTTTTGGTCATTTATTTTGAAATAAAGTCCATGGGATGAGGATCAGCAATCTGCTTAGTTTGTTTGCTAGCACATACAACTGTGCCATGTGTGTGGTGACACTTACCAAGTGTCTCCTGATGTGGGCCTTTTGGTGCAATTAAATACCTCTGGGTCACTCTCAGTCACATGTCTACAAGTAACAAACTCTGCTTTCCTCTCACTCTAGATATTCTTTCTGTCGAAGTGGATGGATTAACAAACATCAAAGAAAATGTAGAGATTTACAAATTCTGACCTGAAAATAATCTCCATAGAAAAAGCATAGTGTCTAGGGTGATTGACACAACAGAAATCCTACCTCACTAAGTGTATTCCCACAGTTGGTTCTGTACTTATTAGAAGGGATTATTGATGCTTTGGGAGATACAATCTCCAGGACACTGATAGCAAATTAACTTTGGTATTAAGAGGAATTCAAGTTAGAGGTTACTGTCTACGTTAGGACAGCTTATTTTCACTTTAACTCTGAGTTATATAACCCACTATTGTTAATTACTTGCATGTATGAAGCAAAAATCCACATAAATTTCTCTTCTGTATTTATCTGTTGGGAGAAGTGACCTCCAAATTAAGCTATGGAGGAAGTGTGGAAACATTCAAAAAAGACCCATTTAAATTATGTAACTCTTTGGAGGGAGAAGAATGTTTTAGAAGCTATCACTTTTTGATCAAATCAGTATTAGTTCACTTTTATTTTAGCCAAATACACATTTTGTAAAATAACACTAATAAGGTATGCTATTTTTCCCTAACTAAATTCTTCACAATGAAATCCAACTGCAATATTCATTTAGAAATTTGATAATGCTCTCTTGTGTGAGTTTTAGGAATATTTGAAACCCCATTGCATATAAATTATATCATGGAAAAGCTGTATAAATATTCTATTACGGCACATGCTGTTCTAAGAATCTGTCAGGATTTCCTTTATACACTCCATTTTGAGTGGTATATAAATCAGATATAAAAATTCACATTGGACTGAAACTCTGCACAAAAGGCCTCCTCCAGAGGCAAATGCTTTTTTCAAAATGTGGTTTGAATTATGTTGGTCATTTTTAAGTTATAGAAGTGCAGAAAATGTATTTGTGGTTTTGAAGGAGAGAGATTTTTTCCATTTTTATAACTCATTAGGAAACTTTACAGGCCTTTAGACCATTTTGTGGTTTAGTTCTTCTCAGGTTTTTCCCCAAAGCAATATTAAAACTTGAACAGTGTCCGCTCTGAATCCAATGATTACTGTTCTGAATACATATGTGTGTATGGATATATATAGTTATACATATCTTAGAGTAGGAGAATTTCCAATAATGTCATGAGTGGGGTAGAAGATTAGGCCTATCAGTGCCCATTTTTGTTCTTGGAATCAAGTCAACTTTGGCCTATCAAAGGAATCCCCTATTTTTACCAGTTCAGTATGTATTGCTTGTAATTTTAAAGCTGCATCTTTAACTTCAGAAAAATCCTCTGAGTTAAACACTACTTCTTCTATTAGCTCTTTGACAATAAGGCTATGACTTTTCTCAATTTTGCCTCTCTCTAACAAAGAGAACAAGTTGCAGCACGTTTAATAGATATTCACTGATGATCTCTTTTGTAAAGTATTTAATGTGTACGTTTGTGTATATGAATCAGTTTGTTAAATAGTATTGAGTTTATTTTGTCTATATAGCTAACATGTTCCTGAGTAATTTCATAAACATCTAAGTTACTATTTTAGCACATGTAGAGATTATGTTTATATTTTTCTCTTAATAGCATCAGTTAAAATCTGAGGAAGTTTTATTTGGACTAAGAAAGTTGGCAAAATTCACAAAGTTGAGTAAGCCAATCTTTCAAATGACTTTAAAGGATAATGAAAATAGAAATATTTTATATGATTGAATTGCTTCCACCTATGTTATATTTAGTTCATTAATGCATGAGACTAACACACTTAGTAGTTACTATTTACTGTCATATAATAGATCAAGGCATTAAAGCATAAAGAGGCTAAAATTTTTCCAATGTCATTCCTTATGTTTTTATTAAATTCCACTTAGAATCTCGGTGTCTTGATTCCTAATACAGTTCACTCTTCATCATATTACAGTATTTCTGGTGCAGTTGCTAGAATCTTAGGTCTAGTAACAGTTAGGATGGACCACCCAGAGGACAGTCCAACATTTGCCTGTGACTTGTGGAGCAATGTGGACTTTTCCACTAAGACACTTTGAGGAGCAGAAGTGATCTATCTCCTCCTGGATGTTTTATCTGCTAACCCGGTGTCATGGAAATTAGCCAACTCTACAATAGAGAGAGCTGAATGCAGTTTTCTTTCTTTCTTTCTTTTTTTATATTAACAGGAGAGCAGGGTTACTAATGAGGAATCATATCCCAAATCTCTAATCTGTGAAGCTGTACATACTTATTTCTATTTGGGTCATTTTTTTAAATTCTCCATTTGCTTTTACTAACTTATACTACTTCGTGTTCTATAATATTATATTTGGTTGTAACTATAAAATTTTGTGTGTAATTTATACATAACTCATATACTTTTGTCTTTCTCTTGGTTTGTCACTAAAGTCATAGCTCTTATGATTTACCTTAACATGTACTCCAAACAGCCCTATATGACTCAATCATTAAGAAATTTTGGGGGAAACCTATGAATATCTGAGTACTAAGAGCATTTTGAAACACAGTTTTATGTTAATCAGAAATGTTTTGAAGTATTGCATAGACATTTAAAACCCACTGAAAATAAACATACTATAAATGTCAAAATGAAGTGTTACATGTTAAGAATCCAGATTCCATGGTTTGAACTTAACAATTCGTAAGTCATTAGGCAAGCAATACGCACATTGTGCTCCCCTCCTCCCCCACCTACTAAATTATACCCATACTTTTCCTTGCATTTGGAGGAGTGATAACATGGTGCTATTATTTGAAGAGCACTGACCTTGTTAAAGCCTAGCACCATTGTTTTATATATGATGAACGGTATATTTTTAAACAGAATGGCTACTTCGTACAACACATGAAATAAAGAATGACATAAAAAGACTTTAAGATTATGAAGAGTAAAAAATGTAAGATAGATCCTCACCTTGATTTTACCTTTAAACAGCCTTTTATTTGTCTATTAGGAACTTCTTCCCGTGGTTTTACAGGCTCCGGCTCTTGTTCTTTCTTTTGACAAATCAGTATATAATTTGTGCCATTATTATTTGACCAAAATGTACCAACAGAAGTTTCATAACGTATACAAAACTCAACTTTACTGCCATCTTTTTGATAAGGGGGAACCAATAAAATCTTAAAGGAGAACTGGTCAGTTTCACCATCACATGAATTTGGGACATATTCTGCTAAAATGTCATAATGTGTCTGCCAGTCATCCAAGGACATTCTCACATATACTAACTTCTCAAAAGAAATATTCAAAACTCGAATAATGCCCTTCATACTTGTAGACCCAGGAGGATACTCAGTTGACTCCAGTATTGCTTTCTGTACTTGAAGTTGCTGCATAAGATCTTCTTTTGAAGAAGGCAAATCAAATAGTGGAGATAAAACATATTCTTCTGTGTGAAAAATGTCCTTCCTTAAGTCAAAACCGGTGGAAACACTTGGTAAATCCCAGCAATCAAATTCTTTGATAGACACAAGATTGAATCCAAAGGTGTCAGCGAATGAAACTCTTCTTGCACCTGAAGATGGAGTGTCCAGGTACATATCTTCAGAAGAATCAGAACCTCGTCTACTAGGTTGAGGCGAGAAGCCAGGTTTGAAAGTAGCTTTAACTTCCTCATCTTCAGAAAGAGAATCAGATAAATTAGGAACTTCCAAAAAGTTATCTTTGCTAATCTGACTAGGTTCTTCAGAAGGCTCCATTGGGCTCTCTGATATCAAATAAGGGAGGACTGTACAACTAGTAGAGGCTGATATTTGAGATACTGAGGCTTAAAATAAGTATTATGTTACAGTTGACATTGCAGAGAGGAGTCAGCTCTATAAATAGGTCCAATGGCGTGTAAACTATGCTAGCTTGCCTCCAAAGGCCTTTAATATGATAGCATCCATGTTACTCTCACCAGTATGTTTCAGATTTAACTGTTTTTAAATTTGCATGTGTTTATGAGCTGAGTTCCAAAAAGACATTTTAAATCATTTTTTGCTGTGTTGAAAAATCTGAAACTCTATTTAGAATTTAAAAAATTGTTTTAACCAGTTGATCTTAAAAATAAAAACATGGACGCCTTATTTTAAAGAAAATAAAAGTAGTATCCAATACTAACATGTAGTTTTGAGCTAAATCAATCCATTGGGCAGACAGGAGAAAAGAAGAACATTTATAGAGTGGGGAAGAATCCAGTGCCTAATAATAATGATAGCTACTATTGAACAGGGACCTTCAATGTAAAATGTGAACTATAAAAGGGTTAAATAGAGGCACTGGGAGTCCTGAGGAAACATGATTTAGATGAAGAAGGTATCATTTGAAATAAACCGTGAAGGGTAGGTAGGATATAGACATGCAGGGCTGGAGTGAGGTGGATTTTCCAGGTGGAAGAAATGGACTGAGCCAAGGCCTAGAACAAATAATTAATCAAATCTGTTATTTTAAACATTTGTAAGTTTCTTTTAATTAATCTATGGAAAAATATACGCAAGTAATATGTTATTGCCTTGAAAATATAAATGGGCAATGGTAGGCCTGGCCCAGGAGTGAAATATTTAGGTAGAATAAAGTGTTCATCTTTGGCAAACTGTCATTTTTATGCCCACAAAACAGAAGTTAATACCATGACATCTTGGAGTTTGATGTGAGTTTTAAAGTGTGAGCAGCCTGTTTAGACCACCACATTTTTTGTGTTAATGTAAAATCCACTCTGGAATGACAATCATGTAAATACCTATAAAAAAAATTTTAAACATACATATGCTTTGACCCTGAAAGTTTCCAGCTAGAAATTTACCCTATCACTGTAAGTATACAAAGATAAATATAGATATATGTTCATAACAATTGATTATTTTAAAAACTCTAGAAATTATCCAAATATCCACCCACAGGAAACTGGATAAAAAATGTGACACCCATACAATAAAATGTTTTATAGTCATTAAAAAGGCTAACATAGCACTTTATATGTTGATACAGAAAGATAACTAAGATGAATTGGTAAGTGAGAAAAGAAAGTGTGCACAGATATGTGCCTAGAAAATTCCTGGAAAGGCAAAAGAAATTGTTAGCAGTGGTTATCTCTGATCATAGAGGCTGAAGGTCATAAGGGAAAGGAGATGCCTATTCTTCACTCAATTAATTAAATTGTGAAAGGAGATTAATTTTTTTTTTAAAAAAAGAAAGCTGCCCAATGGGATTTCTTTAAAATTACAGCTTTGTAAATACATTAGAACTTACTGGACAATTTGAATTGCATAAATAGTGGCTCACGAAATTATTTTTTAAAATTAAAAATGAGCGGTGTCTAGAATAAGGAAATGAAATTATTTGGGCCTTACCTCATCCATATAGCAAGAATGAGTGGTGACCTCATGTATTGTTCAAGAATGGAAAATGGCTATCCCTTGCAAAGTTAATGACCGTGAGCTTTGAGTAGCAATATTCTGAGGTACCTACAATATGTATCACTAGGTATTCAAGGAAATTAGTAACAAAATAATTTATAGAATTAGTCAATAATCCATACAGTCATGTAAAAAATAGAAGAATGAAAATTCACAGATACAATGATGTACCAAAGTAATCTAACTATTTGAGGGTTACAAGCAGAGGCATAGAGCTAAAGACCCCTGGGGTTGTATTCTGTCTCTGCTACTTATTAGCTGGGTGATGTTCAGAATTTTGCTCAAACTTTTTAACCCTCATTTTCTTTCATTGTTAAAATGCAATGTTAACAATTAAATGAGTTGCATGTTAAATGTCCAGCACAAAACCTACAGTAACAGTGGCAGGCATTATTTTTATTTCTAAATACGCTTGTGAAAGGCTGATTTCTAAGACACATTAATAGATAATAGACCATAGAGAGTCCACATATATAATATTAAGTAATAATCTGTAATTTGATTTTTGTGTTTTTCAAAGACTCGAGTATGTAACACTTAACTTTATAAGACATAAAATAGCTCTACTTTAGAAAATGGTCCTATTATTTGAACTAAACTTTTCTCTTCTTACTTTGTGTCTTTACCCAGAGCACTGCTCCCTTGATTTGTAGTAATCACTGCCTCTCTTTTGCAGTTTATAACCTTTGCATAATTGTAGACAGTTGAATGTTCCCCCTTAGTCACCACTTAGCTAAAGCCCAGTGATTTTTAATCTCTTCTCACATGTCAATCCTCCAGCCCTTTCTATCATTTTGTTACTCCTCTATGAACCCCTTCCAGCTTACCTATATTATTCTGTTAATGAACTGCCCCCAGATGAATGCAGTATCACAGATCCACTGTCTCTGGAGCATGTAAAGAAACAATACTGGTTTCAGCCTTGTGACTTGGTGTTTGTATTCAGTTAAAATTCACATCACCTTGCTGCTTTTGCACATCATAGATCAGATCGACATCCCATTTTCTCATATTCACCACTACTTCAATTTTAACATGACTTGTACCGTACTCTTCTTCAACTGCTTAGGCGTACTTTTTTTTTTTTTTTTAACAGAACTAGGGCCTTTTTTTTTTTTCCCTTAACAAACTACAGCTCAAGTTTTCACGTATTCCACTTCTTTGTATTAATCAAAGATTCTCAAAGGTAACTTTAACTTAAAGGACTGTATCAGTCAGGATCCCAGGAAGTGGGAAATCAACATCATGCTCAAAATAAGATAATTCCTTCCAGAAGGGCTTATTTACAAGCGTCTATTTAGAAAGTATAAATGCAGAAAAGCCCTAAGGACTAGTGCGGTAAACTGGGGGCCAGTCGCATCAGCATTGTTACCATCCTTCAAGGGATGAGGAAAGGGACAATCATCTGAACCCAAAAGCAAAGAGTGCCCTGAGCTCCCTACTGGCTGAAGAGGATCAATGATCTTTGGTCAAGGGACACTGCCAACCAAATATGGCCTTGCCAACAGAGATCCAGGAACAAAAATATACTGAACTTACTCTTCTCCTTTCCTGTGATGTCCTACCAGGGCTACACATTGGCCAGAGGCTACGGGGACTATAACAATTCATTCAGGTCAGCCTCCTGGTATAGACAGCAGGATGGAGAAGGGTGAAAAAAAGTAGCAAGTGGATTTGGAGGAGCAAACAAAGATATCAGAAATTAAAAGTTTATTATTCAGTTGTCATTACATGCTTATACATTATGTTTAAACATATATAATTTAAAATATGCATATATGTTCCTCTTGCTTAATACATATTCTATCTCAAGGCTAACTGAGTTCCTGTTACCTGGTATTTTATTGTTACAGCGAGAAAATTTGAAATATCTAGCATTCGTAAACTGATCCAGTGGAAGTCATAAATAAGAAATACTGAGTTTATCCACAGATGGCTAAGAAAGAAGTAATCTTTTTTGAGACTAGTTATAATGTCACATTTGTTTCCTGTTGGCATAAGTCTTTGCAACCTAAACTCAAGAAATATTTTGTCAAAAGAGAACCCAGAAGAGTGATTTTTAACCAAAGATACATATCAAAATCACTGAGAAGTGTTCAAACTACACAGGCTCAGGTGCATCATCAGATCTACCGAATAGAGCACTGAATAGAACTTCCAGGTTGGTGATAATGCACAAGTGATTCCGTTAAAGATTGGTGAAGATGCATGATCTGCGAGTCTTTTGGACCCTATAGGGTCAAGGAGTCAGGGACTTATGTTCTAGTTAGAAAGAATCATAGCTATCATCCCTCAAGCATTATGCGGTTTGTTTTAGTTTTTTTTTGTTTTTTGTTTGTTTGGTTTTTGGGGGAGGGTTTGTTTTGTTTTTTGAGAGACACAGAGAGAACATGCACACAAGTTGGGTGGGGGGAGGCAGAGGGAGAGAGAGAATCTTAAGCAGGCTCCACACTGAGCCAATGTGGGGCTCCAGGTCACTACCCTGAGATCATGACCTGAGCCAAAATCAAGAGTCAGACGCTTAACCAACTGAGCCACCAAGGCACCCCTGTGCTTTTTTTTTTTTTTTGTATAGAGTCTATAAAATAACTTTTATAAAAAATGACATAAAAATTTAGTAGAGTTATAGAGTAGCAGAACTTTAAGGCACTTAGCGATCATTTAGGCTGGTCCCCTCACTTTCACATAAGAAAACTGAAATCTGAAACAACGATGACCCCATCATTTAGTAACTGAGCTGGGACTTGATCTCAGCTCTCTCTTGCTTTGAGTCCAGTGTTCTCCATATTATCCCATACATTCACTAACTTTTAGCTTTAGAATTCAAAATTAACAAAGTAATCATTTTTTTTTAAAAAATAGACATTAAAATTCATTTGTTCTAATCCAGTTTATTTTTTTAAATCAATTAACTTTTTTGAACTTTCTTTTTTCCATTTGATGAAAGAGCTCCAGAGTGTCCAGATAATTTTTCTTTATGACAGAGTCTCTCAACCTTTTTTAACCTTTGCTGCCTTTGGTAAATATAACATCTTACACTGTCCTCTCTCTCCCTCAGAGACTCTGCTGTACTCCTATTTGGGAATTACTGATCTAAGTTATAAAAATGAATTATATGATCTTTTGATAACTAATATTGATACTTAGTATTTTAAAGGACTATTAGTTAAAGACACAGGTTGGCTCATCAGATGGCAATTACTGGAAAAAATCCTCTGTAAAGGTGCATATCTACCAATAGAGGATGCACAGATAAATCAGCAGAAAGTGGAAATTTTGCCAGGTGAAGATAAATTTTTAAAGGTACGTGTCATTTATCCCATAGAGAGATGAATGATTCAGTGTAGGTAATTGATCATGTTATA